GCTAGAATTCCAACCTAGATTTTTTGACAATAAAGTCCTTGTTCTTTCCATTCTTTTTTTTTTTCAGAACCAGGGATTGAACCCTTGTGCTTGCCAGGGAAGCGCTTACTCTACTGAGCCATCTCCCCAACCCTTTCCATTATTTCTTAATGCAATTTCCACCTACAAATTGGAAATCTGTTGTGCAAGATTCAAATTTTGTCACTGAAAATCTCTACTCACAAATGAAAGGATGCTATGGTTGTTCAAAAAGTATAATTTACTGCAAATACAGTCAAACCCAAATGCCACCAGAGCAGTCACAAAACAGCCAGTATTTACACCCCCCCCCACCCCACCCCACCCCACCCCCGGTAGGGACAGCACTCAAGGGTGTGGCATGATCAGGCTGAAAAATGTCTTCCTGACTCCAGGAAGAAATGCAGACATGGTTTTTGTGACAGTCATCTCTCCCCTCCTCTCTACTATTTCTTCTCATTATTTATTAGCCCTCTTTTGCAGCAATGATGAGTTAGGTGAGATATATAAGTCTTCTCATTATGAAAGTACTAGGAACCTTCATTAACAAAAACGTCGATTTATTGGTGCAGCCTACAGTTTGACTTTCCTGAGGAAGATAATGAGGTACACATGAAAAGGCCACAAGCCACTTAACTGGTATCTTTGGCCTGAAATTTTAGAGTAGTTAAAACAAATGGTCTTGCTAGGAGAAATTGGAAGCACTTTCTCTGGCAGAGATGGATGTGTGTGTTCAACATTGACCGGCAGATGTGGGGGACAGCTGAGACAAAGCCTCGGAGTAGTTAGGCCTGAAGTCAACACTAAGGGAAAGAAACATTATTTCCTTACCAGGACTCAATTTCCCCTATATTTCACATAAAAGGCATTTATTTTAAGAAAGTCAAAGGTAGGGGCTGAAGAGATGGCTCAGTGGTCTAAAGCACCTACTTAGAACAAGCTTAGCAACGCATCAGGGACCGCGGTTCAATCCCCCAGCACCACATGCCAGCCAGCCTCG